ATAGTCGCGATATAGGTTTATATTTATCTTTATATAATACACAATAGTCGCGATATAGGTTTGTATTTATCTTTATATAATACACAATAGTCGCGATATAGGTTTGTATTTATCTTTATATAATACACAATAGTCGCGATATAGGTTTGTATTTATCTTTATATAATACACAATAGTCGCGATGTAGGTTTGTATTTATCTTTATATAATACACAATAGTCGCGATATAGGTTTGTATTTATCTTTATATAATACACAATAGTCGCGATATAGGTTTGTATTTATCTTTATATAATACACAATAGTCGCGATATAGGTTTGTATTTATCTTTATATAATACACAATAGTCGCGATATAGGTTTGTATTTATCTTTATATAATACACAATAGTCGCGATATAGGTTTGTATTTATCTTTATATAATACACAATAGTCGCGATATAGGTTTGTATTTATCTTTATATAATACACAATAGTCGCAATATAGGTTTGTATTTATCATTTTATAATTTACAATAGTCGCGATATCGGTTTGTATTTATCATTATATGACATATAATGTCACGATATGGGCTATAATTACTATTATATAAAAGACAATAGTCACGAGTTGAGTTATAATAACTATCATATGATATACAATAATCACGATATAGGTTATAATAACTATCATATGATATACAATAATCACGATATGGGTTATAATAACTACCATATGATATACAATAATCACGATATGGGTTATAATAACTATTATATGATATACAATAATCACGATGTGGGTTATAAGAACTATTATATAAAAAACAGTAGTCACGATATGGACTATAATAACTCTTAATAATATGCAATAGTCACGATATGGGTTGTAATAACTATTATATAATATACAACACTCACGATATGGGTTTTATTTATCATTAAATGATATACAATAGTCACATCATGGGTTGTAATTCATCATTATTTGATATACAATAGTCACGATAAAGTTTGTTATAAATTATTATATGATAAACAATAGTCACGATAAAGTTTGTAATTCATTATTATATGATATGCAATAGTCACGATAAAGTTTGTAATTCATCATTATATAATATACAATAGTCACGATAAAGTTGGTTATTATTATTATGTGATATACAATAGTCACGATAAAGTTTGTAATTCATTATTATATGATATGCAATAGTCACGATAAAGTTTGTAATTCATCATTATATGATATACAATAGTCACGATAAAGTTTGTTATTCATTATTATATGATAAACAATAGCCACGATAAAGTTTGTAATTCATTATTATATGATATGCAATAGTCACGATAAAGTTTGTAATTCATTATTATATGATATGCAATAGTCACGATAAGGTTTGTAATTCATCATTATATAATATACAATAGTCACGATAAAGTTGGTTATTATTATTATATGATATACAATAGTCACGATAAGGTTTGTATTTATCATTATATAACATGCAATAGTCACGATGAGGGTTGTAATTTATCATCATATGATATACAATAGTCACGATAGGGTTTGTAATTCATCATTATTTGATATACAATAGTCACGATAAAGTTTGTAATTCATTATTATATGGTCACGATAAAGTTGGTTATTCATTATTATATGATATACATTAGTCACGATAAAGTTTGA